CCAGTAAATAACATAATAACATAACAGTTTTATAATATAGTTATATCGAAGTTATAAAGGAAATTAAGTAACCTCAATATTAATAATGTATAACAGTTATATTACATGTTACTCCTGTATTATATCACAGTTATGTTCTGTGTTTGCTGGGTATAATTATGACCCAGTAAGCAATCTGCGTGCAAGACTGACGTCAGACTGTCGACAGGATCTGTCGAATCCGAGCAGGATCTGTCGACAGATCCATAGACATCTGCGTCCCCAATCTGCCGCCAGACTGTTGACAGGGTCTGCGAACAGACTCTGACGACAGATTGGCGGCAGATTGCGCGCAGAGCCTGTCGACAGACTCTGACGGCAGATTGGCGGCAGATTGCGCGCAGATCCTGTCGTTCCTGTAGATTCTTCAATTAAATTTTCTCATAATTTTTCATAATTACTCATAGAATAAGCGCTTTCTCATAAATACTCATAAAATACTATGACAAAAAAAGTTTTTCTATATTATTTTTTCATAATTTTTAAGATTTTCTCTGGTGAGATTCGAACTTGCACCGAAGACATTTTGGATAATCGTCCGACGTCTTAGACACTACGCCAATTCCTCACTTGATAAAAAGCGCTTTGTATTGCCCACTTAAAGGTTAAGGAAAAAAAATCTTATAGTTTGTTTGCCTTTTAAATCGTAAAATATCGACGAAACCGTTTAGCATATAAATAATGTAAGAGAGACCGGCACGATAATTCGAAATTAATTTTCTACCAAGGACTGTATAGAAAATTACTGCAATAAAACAGCAGATAATGACATTTTTCCATCATGTTAATAAAATACTGTACTTTTGCATATGCGAATTAATTTGGTCGATCGTCTCGTTCAGATTGTATTAAGTTTTATCAAAATCGAAGCATGATATATTTTTATAAATAAACCATCAAAAAAATTCTGTAAAAGTTATTTACATAGCGGGACTAATATTTTAGTGCTGCTGTCTTCAGTACTTATTTTCAATAACGTATCAAATACGTGGACCACACTGTATATTACGATTACTGATTTACCGACTCGTAATTTATTAAATTAAATAGATTGTATAGACGTCAGAATATAAATAATAAAATAATAAATAAATAAGAAATAATAAAAAATAAATAATAAAATATAATAAAATTAAATACGATAACGTAAATACAAAAAATAAAAATAAAATAATAAAATAATAAATAAATAAATAAAAAATAAATAATAATAAGAGAGGGAG